AGATCCCTTATAGTAGTCCCTATAACCCATTCCCCCATTCCCTACTAAACACCAGACAGACTACGCTCATCTCACATTATGCTGCACTTAGAGTGACCCTACACCCGAGGCTCGACACCTGAAGCCCTAAACCGTCGACCCTAAGCCCTGCACATGGTCGAAGTCGGAGGCAAGAAAAACCTTAAACAATAAACCCTAAACCCTAAACCCTGAACCTTAAACCCTTCCGAGAGAGAGTGCTGAAACCCTAAACCTGAAGCCCCAAACCGTTTGGCCCGAACCCTAAACCCTGCGAGCCCAAGCGATCGTCAGGAGCTCATAACCCGGCGCGTGTAGACTCAGAACTGAGCACCAAACTTCCCCCGAGGCTCTGGAATGAGCCTCTAACAAGAAACTGCTCTTGCTGTATTTCTCAGGTCTTAGCATATAGGGTTTAATTGTGGGGTACTGCGCCCTGAACCGTTAAAATGTCTTTTGTTTCACAGAGATTTTGCAAAGCCCGAAGCTTGACAACACCGAAAGGACTTTCATTTACGTACGTTTCCCAAGCAGCTAGAAAAACGAGCCGGCAAACAAAAGCTGGGTTCTTCTGTCTGGTGCTTAGTAGGGAATGGTGGAATGGGTTATAGGGACTACTATAAGGGACCTTAAGGGACTATCATAGGGATCCATTCCCCCATTCCCTACTAAGCACCAGACAGTCTTGTCAGAATCGTGGGCGTGGCCCGTTGCATCGCCTCAACCTTCCAATTCGCCTGCTTCGGCGTCATCGCAGAGGCCCCCGGGGACGTGATAAGAGCGTCAAAAATAGGGCTCATAGGGCCTACCCTAACCCTACACCCTAAACCCTAAACCCTAAACCCTGAACCCTGAACCCTAAACCCTAAACCCTAAACCCTAAACCCAAACCCTTCCTCAGGATTTTATCTCTTGGGGAGGCCTAGAGGCTTTAGGATGTTGTTAGGCCTCAGGGTGTAGGCTTTAGGGTTTAGGGCTTAGGGCTGAGATTTTTGTGGGATTTGGGGTGCAGGCTTACGACTTAGGGTTTGGAGTTCGTGCGTCTTGGGTTTGGGTTCAGGGTTTAGGGTTTGGATGTCAGATGGGTTTGGGGTTTTGGGAACTACAGGAGATACGTAGTGTCTAAACTTAAACCCTAAACCCTGCAAGCCCTGAACCAAAAACTCCTGAATCCCGAAAAAGCCCCAAACCCCAAACCCTAAACCCCAAACCCACACCCTAAACCCCAAACCCCAAACCCTCAACCCTAAACCTAAAACCCTAAACCTTACCCCAGACACCAAACCCTAAACCCCAAACCCCAAACCCAAAAACCCAAAACCGAAAACCCTAAACCCCAAACCCCAAGCCCTAAACCCTAAAGCGTAAACCCCAAACCCCAAACCCCAAACCCCAAGCCTAAAACCCTAAACCCTTAAACCCCCAACCCCAAGCCCTAAACCCTAAAGCTGAGGATCCACGCGAGGTTTTCGGATTACTGTTTGGGCTTCTCGGGTCGTGGCTTCTGATACTGTAGAAGCTTCAAGCATCTCGACTACTACGGTTGATGGTATAAATCCTGCATTATGCATAAGCCATCATTCCCATAGGTTAGGGTCCTTGAGCTTTTGAAGGATTTGTATCATCAACAGTATGCCTCAGGCTTCCGTATCGTAGTTTTAGTATAACATAGCCTTAAATAGTTCCTAGTATTCGTCCTCAGGCTTTCTTATTATACCTATAGGACCTATAGTATATAATATACCCCCCCCCCCGCAATCCCTCTTTTAATGGCCGAGGCCCCTGCATTACAGTTGCGACGGATTCTAAGAAGAGCTCGGGGCTTCACTCGGTAGGTCTATCACTATCAGTTTCGGTTTAGGGTTTAGGGTTGTTTGAGCTGTCGCATGACATAGACATGGCTCGACGGGGCTTCGGGTTTAGGATTACATGTAGAGCAGGAGATGCCCCGACAGGTTTAGGGTTAGTCAAAAGGTCCGCATAGAAGATGCAAGCATTGCGCGAGAGATCCAGCAGCCAAGTGCACCAGAAACCCGGTTTCACAGTACAGAGCTATATCGGCTTGCCGCCAAAAAGCAAAGTCGAAAGCCGCTAGCCTCACTCCAGACCTCGTTCCCATCTAAACAAAACAGTGTCTTAAGTCTTTTCGATTGAAGAATGACATTGTGGGGGCTTTCGGGCTATACAATGTGACGTGATGACCCTAAACCGCAAATGCCTAGCACCACACAACCGAGACCGCATACCACGAGCCTCTCCGTCTCACGTTGCAGATCACCACAAGGGAGGCCCGCGTCACCATGCTCACCAGCATCTTCCGCCAGGCATGCGTTGGCGTTGGGGCTGTTTGAGGCTGTCGGGAATAGGGCTTGGATACTACAGGGTGTGCAAAGGTTTAGGGTTTAGGGTTTAGGGTTTATGAGGAGCTGAATGGTGTTTTCTTGTCGTCGCACGTTGAAAAGGGACCTAAATGGGCCTGGGAGAGGCCTCTGACCCTCTGACACGTGCTGCTTCGCCGGTGCAGGGCCGTGTTTCCCGTTTTACGGTCTCGCGATGTAGGTTTCGGACATAATTTGTCCCTAAACCCTAAACCCGCGGGGTCAGCGTTGGGAAAGGCACCGGAGCGGTATATCAGGAAGTCAAGGTCCAGAAGCGGTGCCGGCTTGAGGGGGTTTAGGACTTGGGGCTCATCCCCCGCTGAAGATGCCTGCTCAGCCCAAGGGTGGACTTAAAGTATTTATCTCAACCCTAAACCCTAAACCC